CAATTGGTCTAACTACAGTCTGCAGGTTGGGGGTTTGATTCCAGACTCCACCTTTTATATCTCGTGTACATATATCTCGGAGATACACATAGGCTCATTGCCGGGATGGATAATTCATAACTTGTACAACGCTGTAGGCTGTCAAATTGCGGTTTTTGTAGAAAGAACTAGCCAAATGGTTTAAAACTGTGCAACAAAACTGATCTCACCCACCCTTCTTTCGCTTGTACTCTTCGTCTTCTCTCCCATTGCTTATGTCATAAAGCAATCGTCTCCTACCTGTGGTGGGGTGGGGGGAGGGGGTGGAGGTGGAGGTGGAGGGGGGCGGGGTTTGGGGTGAGGCGCACGATAAGATTTCAAAAGAAGGCTGTAGAGGGGGGAGGGGAAGGGCTCGAGCAATTTTGAAACTGGGTGCGTTTGCATTTGTTAAAATCGATTATGTTTCTATCAGTTAAATTATAAATATAACATTGTAAAAATACTACTTATAAAACAAAAGGCTAAGGGCCTTTTTATTTTTTTAAATCGCAGTTTGTAATCGTATATCTGCAGTAAACAGTATAATTCATTTTGAAAACACGGGCATTTATAGACTCAGAATAAATTCTGACCAAAACGTATCGCCATACTGTCTGTTTCACTTAATGGATCTTTCGTCCTCCTCATTTTTTTCAAATTAATGTGTGTGTGTGTGTGTGTGTGTGTGTGTGTGTGTGTGTGGGAGGAAGGGGGTCTTTTATACTCAAGTGCGGCACGACCTGAAAAGGGATGCAGACCATTGCAATAAAGACACTCAGAGAGGTGTTATATGCAGTGACCCGTCTTTCGATAGTTGCTTAGCTTGTGTTCATGTCATGTCATCCTGCGTAACTGCAGTGTTTTTTTTTAAAATTTTTGTTTTAACTTTCTCCAACTATTTCTTCCTTGTTCGGCGTCTTGACACAGTTAACCCTGGTATTCTCACGTAGTTCGCTGTAGCTGCTGGTTGAATATCATTTATTCATTCTGACAGATAACCAAACCATTTGACTGTGTGATGTTTTATTCCAGTGGTTCTTAACCCTCCACGACCCTTTAATACAGTTTTGGCAACCCTCAACCATATATTTTTGTTTTTGTTGTTTTTTGCAATTTCACAACTTGAGTGAATATGTGTTTTGCGATTGTCTTTGGAGACCCCTGAAATGATCCATCAACCCACAATAGAGTCACGACTCACAGGCTGAGAACTGCTCTATATCAATCAATGTGTGTGTTTGTGTGTGAGTGGCGTGCGTGTGCGTGCGTGTGTGTGTGTGTGTGTTGTGTGTGTGTGTGTGTGTGTGTGTGTGTGTGGTATTTGTCCCCAGGTATTTGCTGGGGGTTTCTTTATCATCTTTTTGGCTCTAATAATATTTGAATAATGGGAAAACAAGACGGAAACAAATCATTGTTTCCGTCTAAGTATTGTTAGAGCATGGGTTGGGTTAGAGAACCGAGTCAGGGTGACGACATGCGGGTGTCTGTTGACATAAACATCGCCTTTACAGCGTGACAGGTGGGAAAACAAAGGCGCCCGTCTCACTTTAATGGTTCTACTTCTCCTCTTCTTCTTCTTCTTCTCAGTTTCCACTTTCTTTTTCTTTTTCTTTCTTTCTTTCTCTCTTTCTTCTTCCGTTTTCAGCATTGTAATAATCAATGCAACTTAACAGTTATCATTGTTATAATTCATTTTGTTTTTCCTATTCCTTTCCTGTTTTCTGCCCTCCCCGTCTTCGTGTCTTCCTTTTCTTCTTCTTCTTCTTATTCTTCTTCTTCTTCTTTGCGTTCACCAGCTGTACACTCTGCCGGAAAGTTCTGGTTGCTCGTCCACTACTAAACTGCAGTCCAGCTCCAGAACCTGAGTGTTGCGTGTGCATCAGTTTTACAAATCTCATTCTCTTGAATACAGACTGTTGGTTCCTTGCCTCTCCGGCAGATGCACTCCGACTTCAAAGGTAGCTCCCCAATTAGTCGACTCTTACGACATGCTTTTGGGGAGGCAGTGGGTCTAATCTTGTTTTCCCCACAATGGGGCCCCGGAACCCACACGATGGGTTATTATTATTCACTTTTATAATTATCACACTTATCTTCTATTCTGTCCTTTGCCATCTATCTAATCCACATTACAAATTGACTGTTGTTTTTCCAACTTTTCATCTGACTAGAGTTCTCATCTCTTTAATCACCCCATCATTTTGTGTGTGTGTGGGGGGGGGGGATGGGGGGGGGGGGTTCTATACCCCCTCCCTTTTACGTTTCTCTTCTGCACTTCCCTACTATCATATTCTAGATCTGTAACCTGTACCAGTTTTCCCTTGAACATTTAAAGGCTTGGGATTAGATTTGCTAGTGCAATATTTACGACCTACATAAATCTAATCGCGGACACCCCTGCTGTGAACACTAGTGGTCGTTGGAAGTCTGACTACCGGCACTTGCGCCTTCGTTTCTTGGTGTTCAGTTTCCCTCATTCATATTATCCGTGTAGCTGCCATTCAGGAGATGGGAAGGAATACAGTGACGACCAGAATCCACTGACTGCTGCTTATCGTTATAATTATCTTTATTGTCATCATCGCCTTTATCGTTATCCAATATTTGCCAAAGCACGGATGAATTTTTTTATGCGCAATGCATTTTTTTCCCCTTCAAAGCTTCTGGTTGTTCGTCCATTTCTCGTCTTTGGTCTTCTTCCAGATCTCAAGTTTTGCGTGCATCCGTTTCAAATATCTGGCTTTTTTGTATGCAGACCGTTGGTTCACCATCTCTCAGGCAGAGGCACTCCGACTTCGAAGGAAACTCCTCTCATTAGCCGCTTTGTACGACATGCTTGTCAGGAAGACAGTGAGTCTATTCATCTTCTCCCACAATGGGGTACCGAGATCAACTCGGGGATAAACCTCTTTTGAATATACACGGGAAATATAAGAGGCTGTGTATATAACTGTTTTGACTCAAAAGCTAACATACTTATTTGTGGACTGGGAAAATAGTAGCAGAAGGCTTTGTACCAGGAAGGAGGAGCAGGGGCCGACCAACACAAAGATGGGCACAAGATATAAGTGACTCTTGAATTTGAAAGTACAAGAGGTGGGAGAGCTGTCAAGACACCGAGTTTATTTCAGGCAGACTGTGAGGAGAGCGACGTTCTACATAGGACCTGCTACATGATGATGACATAAGAGGCTTATCCTTTGATGTAATCTGAAATATCTCCTTTTCCTTCAAACAAATAAACAATAAAGCATTCTGTTTGTCTGTCTTCTAAAAACGAGCAATGGGAAAGTATGTTTTGTCTTCTTATGTCTATTAAAATGTGCACAATCAAACACTGTAGCAACTTTTCATGTCCTCTAACAAGTGAACAACAGAATATGTAATATCGTGTCATTTCTAATCAGTGAACTCAATTTGTATATAAACTGTGTCGTCCCCATGTGGGATGCAATTTTTTTTAATTTGAAGCCCAAACATGGCTTCTCCCGGGGGTCCTGAATATAGCCGAGGCATAGATTTGGCCTAGCCTTAGATATGGCCTAACGGCTGAAAGGGGTTTCTGTGACCTCTCCACGGATGATCCTCATCCGCATGGTGGCACTTTGTGTCACTGGGTGTTTATGCCCATCAGTGGACTGTAGAACATTATATATTGTCTTTTTTGTCTCACAATAAGTGATTGATAAGACAGTAACGTTTTGTCTGTAATGAGTGTAATGTAATGAATAGCAAGCAGATCATGCTCTCGTGTGAAGTAACTAATGAACATTAATAGGACACTCTGTCACATTTTTTAGCAAGTGAATCACATAACATTCTCTCAAACTTTGTAACAGGACATTGTGTCATACTTTCTAACAGGTGAATCACAGGACATTCTGTCATACTTTCTAACAGGTGAATCACAGGACATTCTGTCATACTTTGTAACAGGTGAATCACAGGACATTCTGTCATACTTTACAGCTAGTGAGTCATAGGATATTCATTCATACATTCTACCTTCTAACAGGTGAATCACAGGACATTCTGTCATACATTCTACCTTCTAACAAGTGAATCACGGGTCATTCTGTCACACTTTCTAGTAAGAGAATCACTAACCATCTTTCAAACTGTTTAGTTAGTTAATCACAGGAATTCTGTCACGTTTTCTAGTAAATGAATCACAGAAAATTCTGAAACTCTTTCTAGTAAGTGAATCACATTACATTTTTCCACGTTTTCTAGTAAGTGAATCACTAGACCTTCTGTCACACTTTCTAACAAGTGAATCACTAGACCTTCTGTCACACTTTCTAACAAGTGAATCACTAGACCTTCTGTCACACTTTCTAACAAGTGAATCACTAGACCTTCTGTCACACTTTCTAGGAGGTGAGTCACAGTACACACTGTGACGCTTTCAAGCAATGAAATCACAGGATCTTCTGCCAAACATTCTAGCAAGTAAATCAAAGGACATTATGTCATTCTTTCTAACAGGTGAAACACATGACGTTCTTCCATACTTTTTTAGCAAATGAGTCACCAGACATTCTGCCCGACCAATGACAAAGAAAACACTCTACAACGATAAATAAATAAGTAAATAAATAAAAGAAAACAGTAACATCTTCAACACGTATACTAGTTTCCATTGCTCACTGTTTATTACCAGGTAGATGTAGTCAAAGTAACCCATTCAATCTGGTACCTAGACATGCACGCAGATATAACCTGTGTATTAAAACCTAATATCAACACAACCTTGTGCTTTCATTGCATATGGAATATTGCTCTTGGTGTGCGAGAAGTAGAGAGAACCTGCGAACCGTATTTCAATAAAACATAGAATATCAAACCAACCATCAAAGTCTTGAAGCAACAGATAGATGTTAGGTGGATAATAGAAACCAGAGATCCGTGTTACTGAGAACAGAAGCCAGTATTTCAATTTGGATGAAATATGAAGCTACATATTCATGTGGATGAGTTGTTTAGGATTCATGGAAAAATCCACAAGGGGGCATTTCGTAATTCTCATTGCACTGTCGCACGGCCCAGCGAAGTTCATATCGAGGCTTGTCGGTTGGAACGATGTACGGATTGGGAGTCAGCGCTTTAGTCGGTGGCTGTTGATAGATAATTATGGAGACGTGTAATCAATTGGACACATTTATCTTTAAAAGAAAACAACAACTGAGTAGTTGATTACCATAGTAGTTAACCTAAGTGTGTTCCATAGAACTTACATCAACAAAGGGACACGCACGGAAGTCAACGAAAGGACACTGCACAAGGACATATGAAGGACACATGCAATGTTCTCTGCTAGGGGTTTGTTTCTACACACCACATTGCTGTATTTGACGAACACTTAGTTGCTATGACATTTCAAAAACGAATGTTCAGTTATAGGCCTTTATTTGCTGGATCAAACATCTCACTGACAGTGCATTCTTTCGTTCTCGTGGTCGTTATGCCTGGCTGATTTCTAATGACCCGGCCAACTCTCTCGCACACTGCTTTGCTCCGTTCGTTTCGCTCAAATCACACATTAGTATCATACTACGGCATTGTATCTGGTATTGGTACATGTTGAAACTGGCAATCAAGACACATTCATGTCTTCTCCCGAACAATTACATGTCACAGGTTCTGCATTCTCATCAGGTGTTCTCTCACATACGACTGCACACATTCAGGTCCGAACTTCAACAGTCTCTCGGTTCACGCCTTCCGTTCCAGTCTCACACATTTCTTGTATCGCTTATTCGCTCACCACGGGTTACTCGGGACAGACTTATCTCGTTTTTCTCTTGTATCACTGGTCATATATCCTTGTCCTTCCCATCGGAAACTCTCTGGGATTTCCCCTGGAATCCACACCATTATAACACAACAGAAAAAAAAAACGCCCCGAAAAGATATAATGGAAGGACACAGTAAAAGAATACAATGGAGGGATGCAGTGATAGGGTACAATGAAGGGATGCAGTGGAAGGATACAATGGAGAGATGCAGTGGAGGGATGCAGTGGAAGGATACAATGGAGGGATGCAGTGGAAGGATACAATGGAGGGATGCAGTGGAGGGATGCAGTGGAAGGATACAATGGAGGGATGCAGTGGAAGGATACAATGGAGGGATGCAGTGGAGGGATGCCGTGGAAGGATAAAATGGAGGGATGCAGTGGAAGGATACAATGGAGGGAGGCAGTGGAGGGATGCAGTGGAAGGATACAATGGAGGCATGCAGTGGAAGGATACAATGGAGGGATGCAGTGGAAGGATACAATGGAGGGATGCAGTGGAAGGATACAATGGAGGGATACAATGGAGGGATGCAGTGGAAGGATACAATGGAGGGATGCAGTGGAAGGATACAATGGAGGGATGCAGTGGAAGGATACAATGGAGGGATGCAGTGGAAGGATACAATGGAGGGATGCAGTGGAAGGATACAATGGAGGGATGCAGTGGAAGGATACAATGGAGGGATATAATGGAGGGATGCAGTGGAAGGATACAATAGAGGGATGCAGTGGATGGATGAAGTGGAAGGATACAATGGAAGGAGACAGTGGCATGATACAATGGAAGGACACAGGGGCAGGATACAATGAAAGGACACTGTGGACGGACACAACAGAGTTATGCAGTGGAAGGATACAATAGAAGGACACAGTAAAAGAATACTATGGAGGGATGCAGTGGAAGGATATAATGGAAGGACACAGTGAAAGGATCCAATGGAGGGATGCAGTGGAAAGATTCAAGGAAGGACACAGTGGAAGAATACAAAGGAAGGTCACAGTGGGATGATACAATAGCAGGAAACAGTGAAAAGATACAATAGAAGGACGCAGGGGAAGGATACAATGGAGGGATGCTTCAACAGCATCCCTGATCTCGTGGTCTTTATACCTGTTTTTCTATTTAAACATCTTTTCACTTCAACAACAACTCTCATTTCGTAATCTGATTGTCCTTTATCTAGTAAAATGTCTTTACATCAACAGCATCCCTCATCTGATTATATTAATATCTTTTCTACTTTGAAAAAAAAAATGATCTGCTCGTTCCCAACATCATTACTTCAATAACACCCCTCATTTGATAATCTAAGTGTACTTTATCTAGTACATTTACTTTATTCCAATAACTTTTCTCACCCATCTAATAGAACCAACCAAACATCACCATCCATCCATCATCATATTGTAGCAGGTCCTTTGTAGAACGTCGCTCTCATCACAGTTTGGCTGAAAGAAACTCGGTCTCTTGCCAGTTCTCCCGCCTCATGTACTTTCATACACAAGGAGTCACTTATATCCTGTGCCCATCTTCTTGCCGGTCGGCCCCTGCCCCTCCTTCCTGGTACCATGCCTTCTGCTATAATTTTTCCAATCCGTCGTGGCGCTTGATATGACCAAGATATTTCAGCTTCCGAGACAGGATGCTGTTTATTAGCCAATCTTCCTTGATGTCCAGATCTTTCAAGATGTCAGTATTTTTCTTCTTCTCTGTCAAAGATATTCTGAGAATCTTTCTATAGCATTTCAGCTCAAAAGCCCCTATTCTCTTTCTTAAGGACTGAGAGATAGTCCACGACTCACATCCGTATGTAGCCACGGGGAAGATGCATGCTCTCAAAATTCTAATTTGTATCTCCTTGCTGGTGCTTAACCATAGACTTTTAAGGCTGTTTAATCTTTGCATTGCTATGGACATCTTCGTTTTAATTTCTGTCAAACAGTCCCCATTGTTGTTTATTATAGAGATTAAATATTCAAAGTTTGTGACATTTTCAATTTCTTCATCATTTATTGTTATTTTTGGGTGACAGCCAGTTTTATCTGTGAACATAATTTTTGTCTTCTTTAAATTCAAGAACAGATTTTGATCTTCACTGTGCTTTTGGACAAACAATATAAAATTTTCGATTCATATTACACTGTTCGAAAGGAGGACTGAGTCATCTGCGTAGAGAAGTTTTGAAATAGGGTTGCCACCAATTTCCAGCGGATCACAACTGTCACAAGTCTGGTCATTTTTGACATTTCTCATTATATTTTCTGCCTATATATTGAATAGGTATGGTGAGAGAATGCACCCCTGCCTCATCCCCTTTTTGCGCCTCGAACCAATCCGATGTTTCACCAGCTGTTGTGATGGCTGCTTGTTGTTCATGATAAAGATTTTCAGATAAATGTACTAAATGCGCTGGAAACCATCCATCCATAGTATAGTAAAATACCCTAACATCACCACCTATTTCTTGTATGGTAAACCACCCTAACATCACCACCCATCACTTGTGTATGGTAAAACACCCTAACATCACCACCCATTCCTTGTGTATGGTAAAACACCCTAACATCACCACCCATTCCTTGTGTATGGTAAAACACCCTAACATCCCCATCTATTTCTTGTATGGTAAAACACCCTAACATCCCCATCTATTTCGTGTATGGTAAAACACCCTAACATCCCCATCTATTTCTTGTATGGTAAAACACCCTAACATCCCCATCTATTTCTTGTATGGTAAAACACCCTAACATCCCCATCTATTTCTTGTATGGTAAAACACCCTAACATCCCCATCTATTTCTTGTATGGTAAAACACCCTAACATCACCATCTATTTCTTGTATGGTAAAACACCCTAACATCACAACCTATTTCTTGTATGGTAAAACACCCTAACATCACAACCTATTTCTTGTATGGTAAAACACCCTAACATCACCATCTATTTCTTGTATGGTAAAACACCCTAACATCACCATCTATTTCTTGTATGGTAAAACACCCTAAAATCCCCATCTATTTCTTGTATGGTAAAACACCCTAACATCACCATCTATTTCTTGTATGGTAAAACACCCTAACATCACAACCTATTTCTTGTATGGTAAAACACCCTAACATTCCCACCGAATCCTTGCATTCCCTTGTATGATAAAACATCCTTACCATTACGATTTCCTCCTTCCTCAAGAGTTTATTGTGGACCTCCCGACACACCGAACTCCGGCTGGCCTCTCCCACAGGTGGTCGAGCCTTCCACACTCGCATGTACATCTGGTGCCGCTCAAAGGGCTTGGTTCGTACCAGGTTCCTTGTGTGGGGGTGTTCCTTCCTAGTTATGATTCCTGTAATAAAATAATACCACAGTATTGACATCTACAGAGCTTAACAACACATCAAACAGACAATTAGCACATATTATATGTACTCAAACCAACTGTATGGTGCACAAACATAAACACTGAAAACATATTTAGACACTCCAAATGAAGCTCTAAAGACTTGCATTTCATTGAAACAAGAACAATCAAATACAGGGGTTTTAAAGAAACACTGAACGAAAGCTAAGTAGAAAATGTATTGATCGGCACTCATAGAAAGAAGTAAAAAGATAGAAGAACACACTTGACTACATAAAAATCGAAAGCCATAGTTACCGTGCCAGGAATCAAACCTGTCACCGCCAGACGGCGTTTGCGCCTCGCTATGTAACAAGCGTACTAAGAACATGGTCAACTAGGCAACCCACCCCCCTCCCCCCACCAAAGGTGTCTATTTGGCCATGTCTATCGTACAGCTTGAAATCTACAAATATAGAATACGGACAGAATTCAATTCAAACCATTGAAATGACACCTGTGCATTAACTGGTGCCTGCGCAGAATAATATGCATGTTGAATTAAGAATCAACGTCACAGTACTCGGAACACCCTCATAATCGCTCCGTCCCCACCTTAAGCAGCTAACAAAGAGTTCTAATTCCGATGGCACCAGTAATTGTTTGATTGTATATATCTGTCTCACCCTTTCCTTGAATGTTGAGCGTCGGCCAGATCCCCTGGTAACTCCTCACGGCGCCATTCTCCTCTGACCGTAATGATATATTTGCGCTTCCGCACTGTTCACTCGCTCCCAGAGAGCCCTCTCAACGTCTAGCTTGTCATACATCAATTCACCACCTAATGATTTGATTGAATACCTAATGTTCCAGCGGACCAAGAGGTGCAGAAAAGACGCTGGCGTTGGATTTGACATAAGTTGAGAAAACCTGAGAACAATATAACTTGAATGCTCTGCATTGGAACCGCCAGTGGCAAAGAAATAAAGGCTGACAAAAACACACGGAAAAGGGAGCCAGTAAGTGAAGTTAAATAGATGAGGAAGGCATGGAATGAGCCGCATATAGCGAAGGATAGAACGACTTGGCGTCAGCTGGTTGAGGGTTTATGCTCAATTTGCGGGAAAATTGCAGAAGGATAAGAACAATAAGACAGGGGTTAGAAAATACATTTATATTGCTGCGTATAAAATACAAAGAACGGTTATGGAGGGCACGGTTACCGGAAAATAAAGCAGAGAAAGACTTCAGCGAATGTGGATTCAAGACACTGAAGAAGCATTAGCTATGAAAACATATATAGCTGGAGGACTGGCTAAAGAAAAGAGAGATTTTCAGACGTACCGTGACAAGAGCTACGTTCTGTAGAGGACCTGCTATGTGATGATGATGATGATAATGATGATAATGATGATGATGATGATGAAGATGATGATGATATATTTATGAATTCTCTTACCTGGGATTTTTCGAAGGAATCCTCTGTAACCTTCGTACGACTGTACCAGAAAGGTACGACAGTAAACATACGTCAACCCGTCAACTCAAAACAGACACGTTAAAAACATAGACAAAACATCAGTGGTAGCGTTTCAACGGTAGAAATCTCTTCTTCTTCGTCGACTTTGTTTTTCCTTCTCCTTCTTCTTCTTCTTCTTCTTCTTCTTCTTCTTCTTCTTCTTCTTCTTCTTCTTCTTCTTCTTCTTCTTCTTCTTCTTCTTCTTCTTCTTCTTCTTCTTCTTCTTCTTCTTCTTCTTCTTCTTCTTCTTCTTCTTCTTCTTCTTCTTCTTCTTCTTCTTCTTCTTCTTCTTCTTCTTCTTCTTCTTCTTCTTCTTCTTCTTCTTCTTCTTCTTCTTTCTTCTTCTTCTTCTTCTTCTTCTTCTTCTTCTTCTTCTTCTTCTTCTTCTTCTTCTTCTTCTTCTTCTTCTTCTTCTTCTTCTTCTTCTTCTTCTTCTTCTTCTTCTTCTTCTTCTTCTTCTTCTTCTTCTTCTTCTTCTTCTTCTTCTTCTTCTTCTTCTTCTTCTTCTTCTTCTTCTTCTTCTTCTTCTTCTTCTTCTTCTTCTTCTTCTTCTTCTTCTTCTTCTTCTTCTTCTTCTTCTTCTTCTTCTTCTTCTTTTCTTCTTCTTCTTCTTCTTCTTTTTTTTCTTCTTCATATTTAGGTATGTATGTATGTGTGTAAAGATGTGAGTTTAGGTATAAATATGTGGATATATGTATGCATGTGTGTGGGTGTATGTATTCATGTAAGTGTAAATGTGTGGTTTTGGGCATATATTGGTGTCTGTACATGTAATGGTATATGTGTGTATGCATGGGTGCATGTATAGATGTGTATATATGGAATGCGTGTTTGCATGTATATCCATAAATGTATGTGTGTGTGTTTTCTGTTTGTGCATTTATTTCTGTGTATGTGTATGCTTGTATATGTATGTAGATGCAGGTGTGTATGTATCACGTATGTCTGTATATGAGTTCACCTGTATGAAAATGTAGATGTATGTATACGTGTGTGTGAGTGTGTATGATGGCGTACACACGATGTGTGTATGCATTATATATTTATTTTTAAATCCATAATATGCATTATTGATAACAGGTATTAGTACTCTGAAAAATGAGTACTCAGAAGGGCCGAATGTCAGACGGGCCTGCGTGCCCAATTTGTAACCCTTTGAAAATAAAGTTTGTTCGTTCGTTCGTTCGTTCGTTCTTCTTCTTCTTCTTCTTCTTCTTCTTCTTCTTCTTCTTCTTCTTCTTCTTCTTCTTCTTCTTCTTCTTCTTCTTCTTCTTCTTCTTCTTCTTCTTCTTCTTCTTCTTTTTCTTCTTCTTCTTCTTTTGGGTCTTCTTCCTTATATGTGTATGTGTTCCTGAAAGTAAATTACTAATAAAATACAAACATTCATTAACTGGAGCCTGCGCAGAATAGAGGGAATAAAATGGTATGATAGAATAACTAATGTAGAACTTAGGGAGAGAACTAAACAGGCTCCAGTGGACCAAGAGGTGAGGAAAGACTCTGCGCGTTGGATAGGACGCACACTGAGAAAACAGGAGACCAGCAGAACTAGAATGTCTTTGCATTGAGACCCACAGGGGCATAGGAATAAAGGAAGGCCCAAAAACACATGGAGGAGAGAGCTGGAGAATGAGGTTATAAAGATTGGGAGGATACGGGTAGAGCTCCATGAAATGGCGACGGATAGAACGACTTGGCGTGAGTTGGTTGAGTGCCTATGCTCCATTGGGGGATAGAAAGGCAGAAGAAGAAAAGAAAGTAAATTACCTTTAGCCCCACCAGGACCGCACAATGAGCGATTGACACAAAGTGCTACCATTC